AATCATTGTGTACACCTGCCTGGGAATCATCAGGATAAAGGGTAGTCGAAATCAACATAAATCGCTTGAAACTGGTGGAACTGACACATTACTCGAAATAAGCGTTTCTACCACTAGAAAACCTAAGGAATGAATGTAAGCGGGCGGGAATCACTGGGAATCAAGTATTTCGGGAATCATGTGTACACATCAAAAGGGAGTTATTGCCCCCTCGGATTATTGCAAAACTAAAAAAAAATGTACAGTCTGAATCGTCAAACTAGTCCCACAAAGATAACTTTTGAGCGATATAACTTTTAAATTGAGTTACTTTTGTTTCGCGGTCAAAACTTGTCATGCGAGGTGTGCGTCACAGAGCAAACGTCTCGTGAAATACAAAGTTAATAATTCATTTGGCAGGTGTTGTCACCCACACTCATTTCACACGGCCTTCCAGGTGGTCGGTTGGCGTACAGTCCCAGTGCCCAGGGCCCACCTGGGACGCAGTGACTGTAGCCCCCTTCTCCCGTCTTCCCCTCTTTCCCCGTCCGGTGCGCGGACTGTACACTATGCCCCGGGCGCTGGTGGCGGGCCCCGGCGGCTGTGACTGTACCCATCAAAGCGTTGCTATCACTTGTTGAACGCGTGATGGAGCGAAGGCCCCATAGCCCCGCCCGGCCAAACAACATATGAACAGAGAAAATAAAAAGGATTCTACGCCTTCAGCGGGAGGCATTTACGTCAAACGAGGCGGGTGTGAGCGGGGTTGGGGTCGAGAGGGCCCCCGCCTGTATGTACCACCCCACCGAGAGGGGGCGACCCCGCCCCGCCCGGCCCCGGTTCCACCGCGACTCGGACAGCGAAGAAGTCACGTGCACCGCTGGTGATGAGCTCAGGTTTGCAGGCTCAGCCCCTCTGCCCGTGCTGTGGTGCAGCAGTGTAAAGTGGGCGCCCATACTGTTTTTCACCCTCGTCATCCGAAACCCTCGACTTTGGCGGCGGCGGCCGCCGCTGCGGCGGCTGGGAGGCACTTGGCCGCGATGGTCATCGGGGGAACTTTTGTGGACCGCAACACTGTAATCACACATGCCAACCGCGGCCTTGGCGGCCCCTCTGGCGTGTACGTGACGACGCCTCCGCGGTGGTGACGGCGGTGGTGCTGACCAGGGCGGACAGAACTCGTGCACACCGCTATGTGAGCGATGCCCCCCCAGCAGCGCCCACCTCCGCGACACCATACGATAGCAGCGGGTGTGTGTGCGTGTGCGTGCGTGTGTGCGTGTGCGTCGGCGCGTGTAGGAGACGGGCCGTTGCCCAGTACACAACGACCAAAGAGAAAACGAAAATGACAAAGAAGTGATAGAAAAAAAAAAGAAGGGGCAGAGAAGAATAAGAAGCCATTACAGCGGCCTCTGGGGCTGGGCTGGGCCGCCGCTGGCCGGGCTGTCGTCGGGGCATAAGGGTCAGGCAGCAATCTCTACTGATTCCGGAAACAAGTGTGACGGTGGCGCTCCGAGGCGCGTCCTAGCGACGGGACGGGCGGCGCGGTGACAGAACCCCGAAATGAAGAAGAAAGTGTACGAATTAGTACGATAGTACACGTCGTACACCCATCTTGAGCGTCAATAATCAAATTAAACATGATTACACCGAAAATTAAACAGTGGGCATTGTACAACCTGATATATCAGTGTACATACCTTACACACTGATAAATCAGTGTACACGGAATGTACACTGATTTATCATAGTGACCATAGTCACGCACACTAGTGCGCATGTCATGCTCACGTCGTTGAGGTTTCGTGCAGTAAAAGCACCAAAAAAGCATTGCATGCACACTGAAAAACCGGTGCTATGCTCACTGTTGAGTAATCAGACTACGTTATTGCAGCATCGTCTGCGCTGTTTAAGTTAGTACGTTAGAACTGCAGGCCTGGGTGAAGTGAGTTAGTAATCGAGTGATTTACCCTTCAACCTTAAGCACAACAACCTCCCACCATGCGGACCCTACGAATAACTATAACCCCCCCCCCCCCCCACCTTTCTCTCGGTTGCCTATCTTATCGTCAGTTTTCACGTTTGCCAATTTCTGGCGCACGTAAAATGCCACTCTTGATTCCCCCTCCCGTCCACGAAGACTCGCTTGTCTCTCTTGCTCTGCTGGGCTGGCGCCGTCCGGTCGGGTCGGTGGAGGTATTCACCCGCCTCGGTCCCCGCCCGCCGCCCCATTCCATTCATGGCCAGAGCTGGACGATGAGCCCCTCATTGAATGTCACGCCATTCAGCACTTCAGAGAGCGTGTGACTCACGGCGGGGCGGGGCGCGGCGGGGCGGGGCGGTGCAGCTCACGCCCCCCCAGTGCTAAACACCTTTCACACATGTGCCGAGCGCGTGGCCGCGGGGATAGGTGACGGTGACGTCCCGTCTCGCCGGCCACCGCCGCCCCGCCCCGCGCCACCGCCGCCGCAGCACGCGCTTCTGCAGTCCGACACAGCTGAGCAGATGGCGGACCATGGCGCGTGACGCTCGAGAGAGGCTCCAGTAAGCGGTCGCAACGGACTCTGAGAATGGAACTGAGACAGTTGTGACGGGGGGAGAGATGTGTCATACCTAAACTGTAGCAAACGTAGGAAAAGGGACAACACCGTCCGTCCTCATGCCCATGTTACAATGGTAGAACGATGGTAGCCATAAGATTATTCGCTGATTTATTCAAAGTATTCCAAACGTTATTATGACGTCAAAATGACATCGAGTTGTTGTTACTTAAGGAGGATAGGCGAGGCGCTTCTATTTGGCGCCCCGGGAGGACCGGCCACCTGCTCGTCACCAGAACAAAGGCACTTTAATGGTCAACGGGAGGCAGGCTGGGGGAGGCGGGCGCGGTGCCCCTGTCATCGTCATCATCATGCAGGCGAATCGGCTTTCCTTACTGTGGCCCGATCGAGGGCCACCCTGAACAGGCGTCACCGCAAGACCATACCACAGATCAAAGTTCAGACCCTGATGGCGGTATCAGAGGAGAACCTCATATTGAATTTATTTCTCGCGGCTATTGTCTTTCGACGCAAAACATTTCATACCCCTCATTACAATCAATCAACAAGTACTATATCCCAAGGCTATCGATAGCGGGCCGAAGGAAAGGAGTGAAGCGGCAATGAGACGGAGCGAGTAAACTCGATACTTTCCACTGTCCGCCGCTCCCATTTGAAATTCCCCTCGTTCTCTCACGTCAGGGTGGGTCTCATCTCATGCCAACTGGAACAATTTCAAAACGTGTGCGAAATTAAACTTTCCACACTAAAAAACTGATTCCAAACAAACCAAACATACTCAATACACTGTTGTATTAAAATGGTTAAGGTAGAAAAGAAATTGTAAAAAAGAATAAATTTGTCCCTCTTTGATTTCAGAACAGCGTGTTGGTATTGCAGCTGTCTCTCAAGCCGAATACAACAACAAACATGGCCGACCTGTCATCTGATCAAGTTAGTTCGGTGGATAAATTTTTTAAAGAAAGATTAAAGTCATGTCACGTCAGTCCGAAAGGCATGATCACTGGATACGTCGAATCAAAAGAGATATACGACGAGCTTATGCGAGACCTCACAGTCCTGGGTTGTCGGTACTCAGTGCGGTCGACCAACTCCCGAAAAACAGAGCCAGGTTAGAATGTTTTTGAATTGAACAAAGGGAAATTAGAAGTTTACTTTTACCGATCAATGAATGGCATAAAATACAACATATTGTTTACTTTTAATTACAGCGAATTTGCAGTACAAAATAGTGGCATCTGATTTGCAAATCCCTTTCACTGGCTCTCCCTTTCATGTTGATGCCACAACGTACTTTTTGTGCACTCATGGATTTCGGTATTTCAAGAGTAAAGTCTCCAATGAAAATGATAACGAGGTATGATCTGTCACAAATGTTTTGCACATGTCGTTTGTTGTCTTTTTTCATCTCATATACATGTTTTTCTGTAGGATGAAAATATTTTGAGTTCTACAAAAAAGCGACACAGGCGAGTGAATGATTCAATTAAACTGGGTTGCCCAGCTAAAATGTTAGTCAAATGTATACGAACGTATCCTGACTATAAGACAACATCAGACTCTTGGCGGCGCAAATGTGATGTATGTAATCTTCTTGAGAACAAACAATTATGATCAAATGTATAAAATACTTTTACACTTACATATTTTCCTTTCCTCTAGTTGTTGAAGAGACTGAAAGCAGATTTAAAATCTTCTGCACCACCTCGATTTGAGCTAAACTTCTGGATTGCAGTTTCACCAGAGGATGTTCACAATCATGAAAGACATACAACACTCCGAACACTTCCTCTTCTTCCAGATTTAATAGCTGAGATTCACAATGTAGTGCGAAAGGGAGTAACCTCAGTACCTGTAGTGAAATCACATCTCATCACATTTGTTGACAATATGTTTCAAAAGTCTAGTGTTCACCCAGATAGTTTCAATTCTGCATTTTATCCCAATGACAAATGTGTCTACAATCACATTCATGAAGCAAAGATAGCTTTGGCCAAACTTCAAGGAAGTACATCTGGAAATAATCATGTAATATGTGCTACGCCAAGCTTACCATGCACAGATGCCACTACACCAAAACAGGAACATCAGATAACTGAGGTAATTTTGTTGGAAATTTATTGTAGCCCTTTGATAGCCTCATTTTCATTGTTCTAATTACTTATTCTTTGTTCTATAGAAATGTGATTCTGATATGGCTGTCGTGCCTGTCTTGGATACATTCACTTCAGATTGGGAAGATCAACCAGTGTTACCGACTAATTTTGTTCAGGTCTTGAACAACAATGGAACACTAATGCTAATGGTGACTCAACCTCTAAGTGATGATGTAACTGGAGGAGTAGAACATTCAAACATTGAAGCACCAACTAATATTGTCAATGTCAATCTTGATGACAATATTTACACAGTTATAACAGACGCGTCAGAGCAGCGAATTTTACAGCTGAACAGTAATTCAAATATTTTAATGGCTCAACAGTGTACTAATAATGAACAAATTGAGGAAGTTTTATCTTTACAAAATAATAATGAAAGTGTGGTGTTGGATTCTGATAAAAACAGTGTTGTTAGTGGTGTTATTATGCAGTCAGGCAGTCCTGACATTGTTGATAGGGATGGTGATGAGACTTCATGCCATGAAGATCCAAACCAATTCTTGTTTGTCGGGGATGATTCACAGGCAGAACTTCTAGAACAAGTAAAAGACGGAGATAAAGAATTTAGTGATTTGTGCACGCTGCCTCCAACGCAGTCATCAAAAGATGATGATATTAGTCTCTTTCCAACTGCTCTTAGCAGTGAAGATTGTGGAAAAAATCTAGAGAGCATTTACAGCCTAAGTATTGATAAGGATATGATGAAAAAATCTCAGGGCACTAAAAGAACTAGGAAGCAGTTAGAAATTGATGTAGAAAGCTTTGTACAGGAAAATCCAGAGGATATAGATGATTTTCCTTCTCGAAAAATTCTTAGAGAACATGCTGAAGATATCATCAATATGAGTTACAGTTCTACAAATGTCATGCTGCTTGAAGAAATGGTCAGCGTTTTTGAAAAATATAGAAGATGTATGCATGCTGAGTTAGAGATGAAGAAAAAGATGACTATGGAAGATGATTTGTCAAGGCTCCCCTTAGCTGAAAAACCAAGGTGGAAAACTGAATCAAAAACTCTTGGCTTTTCGGATAAGAGTTTCTTTGATACAGAAGATCAAAAGAATTTGAATGATTGTGAAAATAACAGTGTTTTAAAGCTCAGAAATTGTGGGAATACAATTTTTTCATCCTCTGAAAGCTCAGTTGATGAATATGATGATTTGGTAATAAATGATTGAGGCAACTTATGACTTCAACATAAGTAATACTATTTATATCAATCGTGTTAATTAAACAAAAGGATATTACATATTCTTTGGTTGTGTGAGCAATCATCTAGTTTGGTCATATATATTCATATATATATTCATATGTCTATTCATATATATTCATATATATATTCATTTATTTTTCAATTTTGCACTGCCATGTTATGATTTGAAAAAAGAAACAACAAGAAAACTGTTTGATTTGCTCAATGTCTGTATTTGGTGTCTTTGATCGGGAGTATTGTAGCAATCAAAGTAAAAATGTAGTCATCTTCACTGAATAGTGAAGTGTACTGTAACAATTTTAATTCTAGATGACAATTGACCTGTGATAGCCGCCATGAATATGTGTTCATGTAATAGTATAGAAGTAGATTAAGTGTTCTCTTTCATCTAATCTCAACCCTGCACAATGCCAAATAACTATTAAGTATTGTTCCTGTTTTTCTTTAGTGTATACAAATGTTCGTATGTGCACAAAAATGTTTCTTTAGGATGTATGCACATTCTTTTTTTGTTTATTTTGACTGAAATCTGAGAGAAATACAATAGCATATTTCAAAAGTATTAGAGTAATGTGGATTTTGTACTAGTACTATACTATGCTGCTTTGTAAATCGTCTCACTACTCCTTAGTCCATTTTTAGTCACTTAGGAGTTTATTTTGAAATATCTGCCTTGTTTTTACCCCATTTTCTACAGTACCTGTATGTTCAAACAATCTCGAAGTCTTTATTACTGTATTTTAGTCATATCCTGTGATAGATTGTATATTTCCAAATATTTCTCGTGTTGATTAAAAGGCGGAGGAGAACGTTAATGAAATGATGATTGCATGGTGCCCAGAACCAACCACACACAGACCCACGCAAGCTGACTGGCCTCTGCGCCCCTGCGGCGGCCGAGATACCCGCCCGCAACGCAGCCGAGCTCGACGGAGCGGCCTACCCGACGGGGGCTCCCCAGAGGCAAGCATAAAACTGACGCCAGGAACTGGACCCAACATTGACCT